TTTACATACATTCTTAACGATCTATTTCGTAACAAAATCAAATGGCTCTCTCCACATGTTATCTTACTTCACGCAGAAAAGCCCAGATATTATCACAGTTTCCATTCCGCGGTGAAGTAACTTACAATTAGATACAACACTTCGCTTCCTTTTCCCCTGTAGACGTTACAATTCTAGTAAAACGCTACCACCTATGGGAGCAACCAAAACATTCGTCGAACCAGGTACAGAATTTCGAGAAAAATTCCTTTCCTTTTAAAAATATTTCAAATTTCTTTCATTTCATTTAGCAGCTCAACTTGAACTTAAAAGAAAATTACAGTTTGCCTTCGACAGAATCAATTTGGCCATATTTCGATGAATTGTACAGTAGAACGAATGAAAAATGTCGAGAAAATCTATTGTACGGACAAGTTTTGGCAGCACCCATTTTATTCACCATATTCGGATATTTGCTCATGTTAAACATAGGCAATAGCCTGCTTAAATACCAAGGTCTTACTCAAGACGTTGACAATGAATCCTTTTTGTTGGCGGGAAGACTACTCGGATACAAGTTCGAAGCATAGATTTTCGTTTCTGAAACCTTTAAGCTCCGTTCGATACATACTACACACTAAACAGCATTCAAGTACATTTGCCAGTTTTGAAACTGGAATCGTAAATTTTCCGATGTGAAACGGGATGAAACGATCGAGAAACATTTTCTGCGGCGTCGAGACGAAATCGTAACGTTGAAAAATCACTCGCTTGAACAGGCTAAATTGAAATCCATTGCGATTTTATATTCATTACGAGGCTAATAAATTTCTTTTCAATAGAAACTAAATGGACGTGGATATAAATACACAGAGTGTCTCGTCGTATGTGAGAAGTACAACGTGGAATAGATTCAGTATACTGGAATAAGAAAAAAAGTTCGTGTAAACGTATGGCCGAGATGACCTTATTTCCGATTATCGGTAATTCACAATAAACACATCTTCCTGCACCGAACATAGTCTACGTACTAACTGCTCCATTCATAATACAATACCGGATACTGGTTACTAATTCGTCCGATCTCGTGACCCTCGAATCTTACAGAAAGACAGTAGACCAATATCCAATTATAATTGTATCGGCGCGAAAAAGATTGTTGCTATAATTCGAAAACAAGGTCATTTCGAGTGCATACATTATGTGTACTTCTTTTTCTTATTTTGGTGTACTGAATCCACCCCTGATGTATTCCTACATACAACAAGATACCCTGCATACAGAGTGGGCCACGTAAAAAAAGCCACCTAATTACACTCTGTCCAATTTAAGAATAACCTCGCTTCGCGCATGGGACGTGCCTAAGGCAGGACTAGAACGTCCAAACCCCCAGTTAACCGCCTACGTTTATCTCCGTCTTACCCTCTGCTACGCTCTCTGTCTAACTGCGGGAATTGCGCAGAACGGACGAAAATCGGTCCAAGAGCGAGGTTATTCTTAAATTGGACAGAGTATAGGTATCTCCTTTAGCTATTGTGGTACGAGAAAATTTTTATACGCAATTTAAATGGTGTGAAAGGGTGAAAAAGATGGAAGAAAATTTTTTTTTAAATGCCACAATGTCGGTATAATAAACCTGCATAATAATATGACCCTAAAATGACCTTGGACTCTAAAGTTTTAGATCAAACGTGAAACTTCCTTTTATTTTTTGCCATTTGTTTTATTAAAAAAAAAAAATTTCTTTTCCAACTTATTCACTCTTTAGAACCATTTAAATTACGTGTACAAGTTTTCTCGTACCACCATAGCCAGAGAAGATAATTAGGTGGCCTGTTTTACGTGGCCCACTATATATGTTTATATATGTTTGTGTAAATGCATATAATGTATAATAGTATTTGCCACTTAAATCCTACGTATAACATAAATAGACGGATAAACACAATAGTGCGACTAGCGTTGAAAGCGCGAAATACTAACGCAAATATATATTACTAATACATATACATAGTTTGGAAGCTCGAGGCATGAAAGCCTCGCTTAAACACAACAACAAAGTTTCGTTCGTTTCATACATAATATTTAGGCCTTACGTAGGAATCTGTATCATCAGGTAAATTGAATTTAAAGTTTTACCACATAATATTATTCATGATTTGTATTTTATATTATATATATATTAAATACTCTAAATTGGTGTATATCTATATTTACGTATTTATGTATGTTTATAATAGTATGTATATTACGATGTACGAAACTTGATGCCATTACACGCGTGTAGCAGTACAGGTTTGCATACTGGCTACAGCTACACCAAGATCATCCAGCGATCCTCTCCTTATTAGATTTGTGACTAATAAATTTTTCGTGAATGAAGTGGTACAAGTTACGAATGAACATAATTTTTAGCAACAAGCTCTACCTGCATCCGCACAGATTCTGCAAAAGACTACAACTTGTGGCCTGCAAATCGATTGATCTTCGACATCTTAACCCTTTCG